TCTCTCTCTCTCTCTCTCTCTCTCTCTCTCTCTCTCTCTCTCTCTCTCTTTTTTTCCCCTTCGTTTGTTCTGTGGCATAAGGACATTAATCTCACCAAGGTCCCCCGGGTAACAGGGAACAGCGGGTCTGAATGCAGGGCTCATCTCTCATTCTTAGGAGGGGCCACGTTTTCTCCAGGCCATCTTGCTGCCTTTCAACACACAGAGAAACATTAAATTGGTATGAGCCCTACCAGTAACAAAAATAAAACCTGTTAGTCTGTATGGCTTGTTCACAATTTTTTAAAAATTCTTTTTGGCAGGCCGGTGGGGCGGGCGGGGAGGGTGGGTAGTGGGCTGTGTATGCTCATGAAACACTATAAATAGCTGGGAGATTCTCTTTGTTCTAAGAATTCTTACAAGTCAGGGCCTGCCTCGTGTCCTCATCTTCTGCCATCAGTGCCTCATTGTGGCACACTCGGCGCCGTAGAGCATACGTACAGGAAGTGGAAAGAAGCAGCCAGAGGAAGGCCAACATCTGTGGGGCCCCAGAGGGCAGGGCAAAGATCCTGGGGAGACCATGGGAGTAGAGCCAGCTTTTCATGAGTAGCAACATTCCGGGAAGCAGAGCTCCCTCCAGAAGGACCCCCAGAGACTGGGCCGGCCTGGAGCAGGACAGTGCAAGGGGGTCACATTTTGAATGAGGATTGGACCCAGCAGTTGGTTCCCCATTGGTTCCCCAATGGCCCAAAGGTGGAGACGACTTGAGAAAAACCAGAAGGCAAGGAGCTTACCTGACAATACACACATTTTGTAGGATTGGCCTTGATACGAGTCGCTCCTACTCAACAAGAGCAGGTGGTGGTGACAGTAGTTCTAGTTTTACTGATGCATCAGTCTAAGAGTCTAAGAAACACTGTGTTAGGTCACTTTTGAGGTCCCTTCCTGCCCTGTGATTCTATGAAAATCTATGAAAAGAAGGCGGAGTGGTTTATCAATAAATACAGAATTACCATATAACACAGCAATTCCGCTCATAAGTATATACCCCAAAGAATGGAAAATAGGTATTCAAAACAAAACAAAACTTGTATGCAGATGTTCAGAGCACCTTTCACAATAGCCAAAGGGTGAAAACAATACAGACGGCCATCAGCAGATGAAGGGATAAAGAAAATGTGCTATAGCCGCTCGGAATACTTTTCAGCCCTGAAAAGGAACAGAATGCTGCCGCGTGCTGCCGCCTAGACAAACTGGACAAGAGACTCCGTGCTATGTGATTCCATTCATATGAAATGTCCAGAATAGGCAACTGGTAGACCCAAAGTTTGGGGGTGCTAAGGAAATGGGGAGTAACTGCTTACTGGGTAGAGGGTTTCTTTTGGGGCGATGAAGTTCTAGAACTAAATAATGATATGGTTGTCAATCACAGATGTACTTAATGCCACGAAATTGTGCACTTTAAAATGGTTAAAGCAGTAAGTTTTAGGTTATACACATTTTATCATAATCTTTAAAAAAGAGGAAAGACGAGGGGAGCTCATCCCCTGGCTATTTGTCCATCCTTCTCCCGTCTGTCTGCTCGTCTTCACCTTGTCATCGGGGTGACAGATCATAACCACCCCAGGGTCTTCCTCCCTTCTCCCTCCCACACTCATGTACACACTCCTCTCTGTGCCCTTCGTCAGAGGGTCTCAAGCCAGTGTCTCTGGGGCCTGGCACAGAAAACCCTCACGCATGAGTGGGGCTGGCCTCGTCCTGGCTCTGGGAAGGGAAGTCCGTTTGGAAGGCGGGAACTTTCTCCAGGCGCCAGGTAACCTCACACGCTCCGGGCCGCTTGCCCTTTCTCTGGCTCTCCTTACTTTTCCCCAAGGGCCTCGGAGCTTCTCCGCTTTACTCGCTCACAGGCTCTTTCAGTCAAATAAGTGTCTCCACTTTCATCACAATCAGAAACACTCCCTCTGAGTCGCAGACCAG